AAAAGAGAGGTGAGGCAATGCAACGTAAGTCAGAGACTAATGTTTCACCTAGCAGTTCATGAAGTTTTGGCATATTGCCTTTCTGTGCTGAAAGAGCGAGCTTGCCTAACAGCTCCCTCTGGTGAGTCCTGCAGTGGAATATGGAGGATCAGAGGAAGCAGCTGTATTGCAAGGTCCCGTCCCTCACAATTAAGGCAATAATATCATGTAGTCTATTCAGTAGATTTATAAACATATATATCTGTGTGTATATATATATATTCAGCAACTTTATGAGAAGGTGATTCCTCAGTGTATTCAAGATCTGCTTTCTAACTTGGCAAACATTTGCCAAAAATCATGAAAGGGCTTGGTAGGTTATAAAGTTGTACATTAAGGGGGTGGAAGTTTAACCCGGGCTGAAAGCACCTTAGCTGTAGAATGCAACTGCAAATGGTAAAAGCGTATTTACATGCAAATAGAGATACACGTGTTCAATGTGAGAAAGGCAGAAATAAAAGGCACTGTTCACAGAGAAAATCCAGTGAACTGGATGTGTATTTGGCCTCGTGCACTGGAAACTGCCCGAGAGAGTACTCTTACAGATGCTGCACTTTGTTGTGTAATTGTTAATTTCTTTGTGGTGTCTGTGTGTGTGCAAATATCAATTGTGTGTGCAATCACCAAATATCAACCTTAGAAACATCCCAACTTTCCCCAAAAGGTAGAAAATGAATCTTAAATACTGAAAATGGGTATCTACTTAGTGCTTTACTTCGATATTGCACTTGTTCTTTCAGTTTATGGCATACTGAAGAGTAGAGGAAGACTAGCTACAGACATTTTACATTTTATTTGTGTAAAGGCAGTAAAGGCAGATGTGAATTAAAAAAACCTGGCTTTTATTTTGAAATCTACATGTTTTTGTTTCTCACTCCCCCACACCTGGCCAATAAGATGTAAAGAACAGTTAGTGTTTGTATTTCTGCAGAGTGATCTTGATTAGAGTGGAGCAGCAGTTCTGTGTAGCTAGAGTATAAACATATTCTATAAAAAGCATCATTGGGTCTCTAAAAGCTATGGAGTGGGTTAGACTCTGAGGAGCTGCAGAATACACTTTTACTGAAAAAAAATGGCTAATGTTTTGCAGACAAAAAGATTTGAGGTAGTTATGGCTGGCTGGCTTTCAGGCACGGAATGTTTCAGGAAAACTTCTTGAACTAGCAAATGCAACTGCTCTTTCACTTTTGCTTAGATTCTTTCATCACCTCTGTTTGGTGAAGTGTCAGTGCAGGGTGCTGGATTACTGATAATTGTCACAGCAGAGAGAAACTCATAGATGCTTCTGGTGACGTAATATGCAAAAGTTCAGTATTCGAATGAGGCAGATTTTATCTATGAAGAATGGCCATGCTGAATTAAACCAAAGGTTTATCTATCTGCTCTTGTGCCTGACAGTAGCAAGTAGGGGATTGCTAGGGAAAAAGCTAAATAATACAGGAAATGTGATTTCTCCTAGTATAGCTCCCAGATGCAGGCAGATACCTCGTGCCATGTACAGTTTAGGGAGTTGCTAAGCCACCGGCTGTAGCCTCATCTCTGCATTTAACAGTCCTTGAGAGGGTCCTCTTCTATTAATTACTTTCAATCATTGTAGTCATTTGTTGGACTCTTGTAAACTCTTGCTACCACAGCATTTTGAGGCAGAGTTTCACATTTTTATGATGCAGTGTACAAAAAGGTTTTGTTGTGAGTGAATATTTAATTGAATTCTCTCAGTTTTCCTGTTTTGAACAGTCGTGAGTGTTTTTGCAGTTGCTCTCTCCAGGCCAGTTGTGATTTCCCTGTCCAGGGAGCTTCTCTTCCAGGCTGAGGGGTGATAGTCACTTCAGTATTCCTTTTACAGAAGTTATTGTCTGTCTTTGTGCTCGATCTTCACACCTTACTGCATTCTGCTATACAGTCTTGAAGAATTACTGTGAGCAAATCGGCATGCAAAATACGATGCTCTAAAAAAAGTCATTAGTCCCATATAGAGTCAGGACTTGTTGGGATTCCAATCAGGAGGTCTTGGAGCTACACCAAGGGTACAATAATTCCGTAGTTAACATTTTGTGGTTTAGCGCAGTGCCAAGGTATCACTTTATAGACCAGACTACACCTGTCATTCTTGAGTTCCCTTTAAAGTACAGCTTTCATACAGATTGCGTAGCAAAATACAAAAGCCAACTCACCGTGTATTCAGTCCACAGACACTCCGCCCCTCCATCCCACTGTCAAAATATTGGTGGCATATTTGTATTCTGTCCAGACACCACTGCCAGAGCAGAAAGGGAGGGGACTGGGCTACTTTTTCCATGCTTGTCTGCCTGGATATATTAGTAGCAATTTGAATGAATAGATTGACATCTGGGTCATGTAAAAAGGTATGCTCTTTTTGTGACTTTAAATTTGCTTATGAACCTGGCCCTGAAAAGTAAGGTTATTTATTACCACTCTGTTAGATTTGTTATTTTGTTACTGTCCTCTCAGGTAGGAATATGGAAATATACCTACATATTTTTGTATCCCATTTTGCTATTCAGAAAAAAAGAAAGGCATCTTGAAGGGAAAATAATAAAGGTTGCTGTATAGAGAAGCTGGTGAATTATGGGCTGGATGAGTGGACAGTGAGGTGGATGGAAAACTGGCTGAAGGCCAGGCCCACAGGGTGGTGATCGGTCGAATGAAGTCTCGTTGAAGGCCAGTAACTAGTGAGGTCAGTACAGGATCCAGTCCTGTTCCAACATCTTCACTGATGATCTGGATGATGGGGAAGAGTGTACCCTCAGCAAGTTTGCTGATGATAGGAAACTGGGAGGAGTGGCTGATACTGGGAGATCTTATCAGCGTTTATAAATATCTGAAAGGAGAGTGTAAAGAAGATGGAGCCAGGCTGTTTTCAGTGGTGCCCAGTGGCAGGACAAGTGGCAGTGGGCACAGACTGAAGCATAGGAGGTTCCCTCTGAACATCAGGAAACACTTTTTTCGTGTGCAGGTAATGGAGAACTAGCAGAGGTTGCCCAGAGAGGTTGTGAAGTCTCCCATCTTGGAGATATTCGGAAGCCGTCTGGACATGGTCCTGGCCAATGGGCTGTATGTGGCCCTTCTTGAGCAGGGAGAGGTTGGACCAGATAACCTACATGAGGTGCCTGCCAACCTCAACCATTCTGTGCTTCTGAGAGATGAACCAGGGTCCTTTAATCACTGTTTCAAAATGACAAAAGAATTGTAGCTGCTTGATGAGAAGGATGTGTGGGTTTTTTTCCAGTTTGTTTCACAGAAGTTGTATGGGTTTATCCCTTTCACTGTTCATTTGTGTTTTGTAAGCTTGGCAGTTAGCTAAATGCTATTGTAATGTGAGTAGCGACCCAGTAGGCTTGAGAGACCGATCATAGGGGAGGCCTAGCATGACTCAACCTGAAAAATCCATGTAAAAGATTTTTGTGACGTGATTACGCAGTAGATGGTCAAAAGGTACAATATGGATTAATTTGAAGACCTGTGTGCATGACTCAAGCTGTGTTCTGTTGGCAGTCGTGGTCTGGGGCTCCCCCGCTCTCTTGTGTTTCTATGCCTTTTTGTTCCCTAACTTCTTCCAGCTCCAGTGCTGGTCTATGCTGTGCTGAGTTGTTTCAATACTAATGAGCTAGGTGAAGAAAAACGAGTGGGTAGCTTTCTTCCATGCTAGCAGACTGAAACAGCTTGGGAGAACATCTCATAAGCATTGGGACTATGCAAGAGAGGCTTAGGGGGCTGTGGGTTTCATCCTAGAAGGTGCTATTGCATTTGTGTCACAGGTATTTGTGCAGAGTTGATGAGAATGTGGAACCGCTGCAGAAAAGGGCCTTGCCTCAAAGCGCAGCGCTGCCACTAAAAACTCGGTGATAACCATGGTTCTGGAGATAAATAAATGCTGTTGCTAAGCTACAGAAACAGATTGTATGGTGAAGTATTAAACATAATAAAACAGCAAAAAGGCATTTATAGCTGAGTGGGAATAAACTAGAGTGGGTGTAAAGAATAAACAGAACTTTTGCATCCAAATAAGAGCAATGAAGCTGGTGAAGGGTCTAGAGAACAAGTCCTATCAGGAGCGGCTGAGGGAATTTGGGTTGATCAGTCTGAGGAAAAGTAGGCTCAGGGGAGACCTTATCGCTCTCTACAACTACCTGAAAGGAGGTTGTAGTGAGGTGAGGGTCGGTCTCTTCTCCCAAGTAACAAGCAATAGGACAAGAGGAAAAGGCCTCAAGTTATTCCAGGGGAGGTTTAGATTGGTTATTAGGAGGAATTTCTTCACTGAAAGGGTTGTCAAGCGTTGGAACAGGCTGCCCAGGGAAGTGGTGGAGTTGCCATCCGTGGGGGAGTTTAAAAGATGTGTAGACGTGGGGCTGAGGGACATGGTTTAGTGGTAGTTTTGGCAGTGTTAGGTTGATGGTTGGACTTGATGATCTTAAAGGTCCCTTTCAACCTAGACAATTCTATGATTCTAGAGAAGAAGATTTTTATTTCAGTAGCCAGAGTTACTGTTGTTGCCGTCTACTCCTTTTAAGGGATAGAAGCCCTTGCAACGTTAGACTGAAATGGAAATAAAGTGAAGCAATTCAGAAAGATTTTTTTTCCCTTGGCAGTATTTCCCAGAATTCAAGTTGAGAGCTTTGTATATTTTCTAGTTTTTTTTTCTCCAACAGTTGAGCTGCATCAACCCAAGGTTTCCTTCAGCATCAAACATTTACTTGAAACTTATTTCTGCTGTGATCTTGCTGTCACACATTACTTTCAGTTTCTGACACCTGATACCTGTCACGTGCAGATGATCAACTCCCAGTGCTGCTGATTAAGGAAGCAAATAGTGCCAAATACATACATGTGTATTTGAAGAAAGGTTTTACTAATGCAAGAGTTTGTATAGTGTTAAGTTTTATCATTATTGTGCTACAGGAGCAATGGTTCACCAGCATTTTCCTTCTCTTTTTCAGCTTTTCTTATTGCTTTTCCTCGGTGAGAATGGCAAGGATTCGGATTCCTAGTACAATCGTTATACTTTTTGTTATGGTACAGACTGGATTCTTACTCTTCATGTATGCCCGGTACAGTAGCTTCATGCCTCAGTCTGAGGAGAAACCATCTCAAGTCCACATCCTCATTCTCTCCTCCTGGCGTTCAGGATCTTCTTTTGTTGGTCAACTTTTCAGCCAGCACCCCAGCGTCTTCTACCTGATGGAGCCTGCGTGGCACGTGTGGGTTACGATGTACCAGAACAGTGCCAAGGTCTTGCACATGGCAGTGCGGGACCTAGTCAGGTCAGTCTTTCTGTGTGACATGTCTGTGTTTGACGCTTACATGCCTTGGAAAAGAAACTTATCTGATCTTTTCCAGTGGGCAGTGAGTCGGGCTCTGTGTTCAGCTCCTGCTTGTGACTCCTTTCAACGTACTGACATAACCAGTGAAATGGCATGCAAGACTCTTTGTGGACGGTACCCATTCAGCAAGGTGGAGGAAGCCTGTAAAACTTACAGCCATGTTGTCATCAAGGAGGTTCGATTTTTTGACTTGAAGGTCCTTTACCCCCTTCTTACTGATCCATCGCTGAATCTCAAAATTATTCACTTGGTCCGTGACCCCAGGGCAGTCGTCAAGTCACGTGAACAATCGGTCAAAGCATTAGCCCGTGACAATGGAATTGTTTTGAGTACCAATGGCACTAAAGTGGAAGACAGCAAGTACAAAGTAATGCAAGAGATTTGTAGAAGTCATGTTCAGATTTATGAGACGGCTACCCTAAAACCACCTAATTTTCTTAAAGATCGCTATTTAATGATCCGTTTTGAAGATCTGGTAAGAGATCCATTATCAGAAATCTCAGAAATGTATAAATTTGCAGATCTTAGTTTGACCCCCACGCTCAAAAGCTGGATCTATAATATCACACATGGACAGGGACCAGGAAAAAAAAAAGAAGCCTTCAAAATCACATCGCGAGATGCAGTTAGTGTTTCACAGGCCTGGAGAAATGTTCTCTCCTTCCAGAAAATTAAGAAAATACAGGAAGTTTGCAAAGGTGCAATAAACATGCTTGGCTATCAGCTGCTGGATTCAGAAAAAGAACAAAGAGATCTGTCATTGGACTTAGTGTTGCCAAGACGACAAAATCAATTCAGTTGGTCATCATTTAATCCAAAGCACTGAGACATTATTTTTGAGGGACTGGGGGTGGGGTGGGAGTGGGGGTGTAGATGGTTGAGTATTTGTGTACTGTGCAGCATATAGGTAATTCAAAAATCCTTGGCTGATGAGTTTAACTATCTTCCTGTCTGCTGTTTTTCCATAATGGAGGAGGGTTTTTTCCTGAGTTTCTTACACCGCAAAAACAAAAAAAACCCATCAGAAATGCCTAAAGATACTTGTCAGATTTCAGATTTACAGCTGAGCTGTCCTGTTCTCAGCATTGTTTTAAAAATATAATTTAAGTACTTTCTATTAAAAGATGAATTGTTAAAGATGTCTTTGTTCATTGATAATAGTTTGCTTCTGTTTTCATGCTTTAAATATTTAAGAATCTCAGTTCTTAATTTGTATTAATGGAACAAAGTAGAAACTAAATTCCTTCACTTTCTTCCAGAATCATTTGACTTTCTTGTTTTGCTTTAAAGTTGTTGTGTATGGTTTTAGACTTCTCTTGATATTTTAAACTTCAACATAAAAGTTCTCCAAGAGCTAGGGCAACTGCAAACAGTTCTGTTGTAAAAGGCTTAAGCAGGAACTTCATTTATTCATACATTTCTTAGTGCTTTCCCTGGAATGGCAAAGTTTGGTACTTGAATGCCATGTTGGCATGGAGTGCAAAAAGCAAAAGAGATGAAGAAACTTTGAGCAGAATCACTGTGGAAATAGCTTGTTAATGCCACTCCAATCGAGCGTTCTAACTCTGTGACACAGAGAAGGCACACACTTGCTCCTGCAGCATGATTCATACCATTGTCCTCTCTTTTCAGAACTGTAAGTTGTTGTTAATGAAGATCACTGCACATCTGAGGATGGACAATACATGTTTGATCAATACCAGATAATGCTGTTAGGGCTAATTGAAGAATGTCTTGCTATAGCTCCTCAGTGCCCCTACTGCAAGCTGCTGTAGGAGATGGATGTTCCTAGCACTCTCGACGGTGGGAGGTGGGTCCTGTGACGCAGTGTTTCCCTGGGGGTGTTCTTTAGGGCCACACCTGTTGCTTCTGGAGATTTTTCTAAGTGTTCACAGAGCTATTTTTGCGCCTGTGGAGCCATATTTTTTTTTGTCTTGGTGACTTTTCCAGGGACTCTGAGGTTGTGTTGTCATCTCTGGTGCATTTGTCAGTTCTTTGGGGGCCATTTGCTTACTCAGGTTAGCTGGAGCTTCTTCCCTGTGTCAGGGAATTCAGAGTTTTTGGGTGGGAAGCGTGTCTGAGCTGTTGTCTGTAACACAAGAAGTCTTTTGGGCTCCCCAGTGCAACAGAGGCACGAACATACTGGAGAGAGTCCAGTGGAGGGTCACCGAGGTGATGAAGGGACTGGAGCATCTCTCAGATGAGAAAAGCCTGAGAGAGCTAGGACTGTTGAGCCTGGCAAGAAGGTGGCTCAGGGGGATGGGAGGAGGCGATATCTTATGGATGTATCTAAATTCCTGAAGAGAGGCCATGAAGAAGACGGAGACAGGCTGTTTTCGGTGGTGCCCAGTGATGGGACAAGAGGCAATGGGCACAACCTGAAGCACAGGATGTTCCCTCTAAACATCAGGAAACACTTCACTGTGTAGGTGATGGAGCACTGGCACAGGTTGCCCAGAGAGGTTTTGGAGTCTCCCATCTTGGCGATATTCAGAAGTCATCTGAACATGGTCGTGGATAGCTGGCTATAGGTGGTCCTTTTTGAGCAGGGAGGGGTTGGACCAGATGAACCTACAAGAGGTCCCTTCCCACCTCAAATGTTCTGCAATTCTGGAGTCACTACTGTCACATCCAGGGCCCTTAGCTACCACAGGCATGAGAAACTTGCCCCAGGCCTCAAGGTCATCCAGAGCGCCTGGTGCTTTACTCCAGCCACACTGCTTATGAAGAAGAGGAGCAGGTAATTTTGCACTTATCAGGGCTTTTGGGGCTCAGTGTCGAGTGCTCCCTGTTGGGGCAGGGTTGAGTGTTTATGGGGTTTGGAGGGACAGTTTGAGAGGGCATCTGAAATGCCCTTGCAGCGTGGAGTGAGGAAAGAGGGGCTTAGAGTTGGGGGGGGAACTGCCCTGGTTGGGGTGCTGTGTGCACCTGAGTGCCAGTATCTCGGCTGCTGTGTGTGGCTGTCAGCGTTGCAGGAGCCACGGGGGTGGTGGACTTTACTATGCCTCCCTCAGAAGTGGCTGATAAAGTTACTGCACAACAGAGACTGCAGCCATCAGCAGGGCTGGATGCTGATGATGACTAGCACAGGCCTCGCTCTCTACTGTCATTTCCCCTGCTACTTGCAATGGATCTGCAGTGGCCTTACGGACCCCAGATATCCCTAAGGGCAGCCCCAGACCCCAGATTCTCCCCCAAAGCTGCCAGCAGCCCCCAAACTCTCCCAAACCCTTCCTCAAAGCTCCTCCTGACCCCCAAACAGTCCCCAAAGACCCCCTCATCTCTCTTTCTATTCCTCTGTCTGTCTCTCCGTCCCCTTGCTGGATTCCTGTTCTTCTGTCAAGCTGAAGATCCTTTGTGTTTTGTCAGGCCTTTGAGGTGCCAAGGTCTGGTGGGTGCTCAGTGGAGTTGATCAGTAACGAAGGGAAGGTGCTGTTGATCTGCCTCATTCAGACCAAGTGCAACACCTCTCCAGAGATTTTTGTTGCTGGGGCACAGGGATGTGGGTGTGCACTGGGGGAGCACCAGTGAGCGAAGATGCTATGGGTTGATGGTGAAGAGGCTTGTGGGGAAGGAGTCAAGAAGACAGAGATCAGAGTCTCCAGCTACTTGGGTGTTAGGGCAGCTGCCTGTAGTAGGGTAGTTTGGACTTATTGTTACTGTCTGTCCTCTGTATGGGCTGTTGTTGCCAATGCTCACCTGTGCCCAGATGGGGCTGTCGCATGGTGCAGCTTGACTCATGAATGGGATATGGGCACAGAGCGCGATTGCCTGTTGGATCTGCCTTTATGTAAACAGGTATCTTCCTTGCATCAGCCTCATTCTGCTCCTCTGCCACTGCTCTGCAGCAGCAGCTTGCACTTGACTTAGCCTTCGGGCACACTGTTGAGTCACAGGGCTTTCTAGCAGGGTCTGTTTGGCTTGAGCTGCTTGCGTGTGTTAGCCTATGGATGTGAAGCGAAACCTTGCTTCTCTCAGTGTCCTGGCTACAGTCTGTTTCCCATTAGCTTAGTCTCTCTAGTGCTTGGAGTTTTAGAGGCTGCTTTCTGAATGGTCTGGAGGAGACCAAAAAGTTCAGGTGCCATGGGTGTTGTGTGCCTGATGTTTCTGTGGGAGAAGGGCTAGGGCAGCACAAAGTGAAGAAGCGTAGGTGTGGTGTGGGAGACATGGGGCTGGAGTGCAGGCTGGCTTCTTTGCTTTCGGGTGAATGAGAGGAGTGTTTCTGGTGGCAGTGTGCTGAGTAGGCAGTGCTCTTGGGCATGGCAGTGGATGGTTGCCTGAGAGGTCTTAGCTTTTCTTCTCTTGCCTGTGTGAATGAGAAGGCGGATAGGTGAGAGAGCTGCTTGTTCTATGTTACGTGTTTTTTCGTGCCAAGTAAGACAAACAAACACTTCTAACATTGAGGTGTCTGTCTGGGCTGCAGTTTCCCTGAGGAGTACCATCTGCCAAAGGCTGAAGACAGCCAGGTGCCTAAATGGTTAGGTAACTTGGACTTGCTCCTAATGAGGTTAATAGGCTAAAAACATGTCTAGTTTCCATCATAAATATTTCCCTGTCTGTAGTGTTTTACCCTCCTTCTGGACACTCTGTTTGCCATCTTCTGGATAGCCTGGATAACACAAACGTTTGTTGGTACTGCACATGAATGAGTGCTCACAGTGTGGCAGGTAGGTTCAGTGGAAGTGCGGTTTAGTACAATCCTATGTATCGCTTCTGGCATATGGTCACATTTGAACGGTGACTAAAACCAAGCTTGTAAAGAGCAACTATAAAGTGTTTGTGACTTGTCTTACAGTTCTGTTGCACTCACAAATGAAGGGGAAGTGGTTTTTTAAGCTGTGAGTAGAAATTCCTTGGCTTCTCTTTACTGTTCTGCTTGCGTGTGCTTTATTTTTTCTTGGGTAAAACTGAAGGTTTGGAGGTTTTCTTGTGCAGTTTTTTGTTTAGAATTTCTTGTTGAGGGTTTCTCACTCAGATGTTGTGGTTTACTTGTTAATTTTGTGGGACTCGGTATTTATCAGTCAGGATTTACAGTTTACACATTTACTACTCAGGGCATAGGTTTTAAGATCTAACCTCAGCCATAAGTTATAAAGCCCCAGCAACCATCTGGATTCTGAGATTTCCAGGTTTTCAGCTAGAGTTCAGGGTTTACAGCTTATTGTTAAATAGACAGGTCTAAATCCTGAGATAATAAACCTTGGGCACTCACACTCCACAAGGTATTGATTAAAATTCCATTTATTGAACTTAATGCCAGAAGGAAAAAGAGGTTAGTATGAATAGTTCTGTGTCCTTCAGATGCTGGGAATTTGTGCAGAACCAGAGTCGCCTTCAATCAAGGCATGGTGTATCGTGCAGATCCCCTCTGTAAGGAGGTTCTACCAACGTCTTGGTCTTTAGAGGTCTTGCAGAATTTCCTTAGAAGAAAATAATTCTAGTCATTATGTCTTTTGCCAAACAAAAGGATGTTCACATGGGAACCTGCTCCTTCTCTTTACAATAAAGATGTGCAGATGCTACAATCACCAGTGCCAAGTGGGAGCTGCCTGCAGGCTCCTTTGTTACAGTTAGCCAGCTAAGTTTATTTTGTTAACAAGGGATATGCACAGCACAACGCAGGTTGGAAGGTGAAGTTGTACGTGCAGCATAGCACAGCTCAGGCCAGCACCTTCTCAGGTTAACTGTTAATGTGGATCACTAGCTCCTTGATCGTACAATAGTCTTCTGGTTAGGATCACTACAGTAACCCTCCAATCACCCAGCATTCAGCTTTGCACTCTGATCTGAGGTCTTGGTTTGATAAGATGCAGGCACGACGCACTGAGTCAGACTGCCGAGGTAGCGGGCAGCCTGAGAGCTGTGCAAGTTTCTTGCAGAGTCCTAGTCAAGGGGTAGGACAGAGGAACCAATGGGATGAGGTCAGGGGTCTTCCTCTCAAATACCAGAGCTGGATCCTGTCACCAAAAGAAAAAGCAAGGGGAGAGGCTCACAGCTGCTCACTGACTTGCTGCAGTAGGAGCTGACCCTTTCCCACCAGAACACTACTCCAGTAATGACTCTGAAGGGGTCACAGGAGAAGGGTGAGCATACTGGCACTGAGCCCCGTGGCAGACTCACTCCCAGGTATTAGGTGTATTAATTAATAAAT